CTGGAGGTAAGGCCTGACCAGCCCCTGTGGGCTCAGCCCCCCTCCTGCCGCCTGCACCCCTGCCAGGGACGCTCCTTCCCACGCGGGTGGTCGGGTGGGGCCTGGACAGGCTGCTGGGCGCTGAGTCGCCTGGCGCTGCGTCCTCTGTCTTCCCTCGGGGTCTGGTCCTTCCACAGGGAGCCAGCGCCCCACAGAGGGGCTGGCATTTCGCTTTTTGCTTTTTAGTGTGTGTTCTTGTTGCTTTCAGAGAGGCAGGGAGAGGGAGAGAGACACATCAATGATGAGAGAGGTCACTGATCGGCTGCCGCCCGCACGCCCCACACTGGGGATCGAGCCCGCAACCCGGGCCTGTGCCCCGACGGGAACGGAACTGACCTGGTTCCTGGGCTGACGCTCACCCACTGAGCACACTGGCCGGGCCTGGTTTGCTTTTTCAATCAGACACGGGGGCAGTTCTGCAGCAGGACCGGGAGTCCAGGTACCCCGAGGGCCGGGGTGGGCTTAGCAGGCACCACCCTGTGCCCCCCAAAGTGGCAGGATTTGACCGAGACGCTGAGGTTTGGACCCCGTTTCAGAGGGTTGTGCTGCCCCAGACGGGGGCTCAGCTGGTTGGAGCATCGTCTCACACACCCAAAGGTGGCGGCTCGATTCCCGGTCCGGGCACGTGCGGGAGGCAGCCGGTCCGTGCTCCTCTCTCCGGCTATCCTGGGGACTGCCATTTAACTTAAAATTTTAAATTTATTGACTTGAGAGAGCGAAACATGGACTTGCTGTCCCACTTACGCATTGGTTGATTCCTGTGCGTGCCCTGCCCTGCGAGCGAACCGGGAACCTTGACATACCAGGACAACCCTGTGGTCAGTCCGGCTATCCTGGGGACTGCCATTTAACTTAAAATTTAAATTTATTGACTTGAGAGAGTGAAACATGGACTTGCTGTCCCACTTACGCATTGGCTGATTCCTGTGCGTGCCCTGCCCGGCGAGCGAACCGGGAACCTTGACGTACCAGGACAACCCTGTGGTCAGCAGAGCTACCGGCCGGGCCCTGGGCTGTCATGTGAGAGAGAGCCGGTGGAGAGCCGAGGGGGGGGGGTCAGGGTGCCCTGCAAAGGGCCGGCTGCTCCGGAAGAAAGAAAGCCCAGCTCCAGCTGCCCCCGCCCGACCCTGGCGGTGGGGAGAGGGCACAGGCCGCCTGGCCCCTCGGGGCCTCCAGGGACCCTTC